ATTGTCCATTAAATGTAACAATCCAGATTGAATTCAACTGAAGAGCTGTCTCACTATAGCTCTGCCAAAGTCTCACTATTGAGTCTACCTCAAGCCAAGAAAGCAGTTAATACCAGACTGAGCGGTGACTGAGGTCAATAACAAGTGCTTAGAAAAGTAATTAAACCAAGAAGGCAAAAGCAAAAACCAAAGGAAAGGGGGAAAAAATAGCCAACAGTACAATAAGCTGAATTTTCAAAAATCTTTATGCTGTCATATATACACCATCTGTTCGAAACAAGCCTGTCTCATTTCCCTCCTGCAAATTCACCATATTTAACTCCTATCTCAGTGTCAAAATTTTTCCATTAGAATTTGATTTATTTCTCAAAGTTATCTCCCATTTCTACCAATAACCTAATGCTAATAAAGGCAATCATATATTTATGAAATACATTTACATCTTCAAAAGTAAGGGTGCAGAAAAAAAGATGGCAGAAAGAAAGCAACAGGAATCCGAAAGAAGAAAATGCCACTAGAAGCTGATTTACCTATTAATAGTTACGACAGAGATAGGCCCTTCTTTAGGTACAGTTGAGTATTAGAAACTATATCCCCAACCCTGCATTCTTCCTTGTCTTTAGCTATTCAGACAACGGTGGAAACTGATCAGGAAATAAAAAACAGTTTGAAGCTATAGGCCTGTACTGTCCAATAAGGTAGCGCTGAGTCACATGTGGCTATAGGGCACCTGAAATGCAGCTGATCTGAACCAAGATGTGCCATAAGTACAAAAGACAGAGTGAATTCCAAAGACATAGTATGAAAAAAAAGAACATAAAATATCTCAATCATTTTTTTATTGATTGCATGTTCAAATAATATTCTGGATATATTGGCATAAGCAAAATATATCATTAAAATTAATTTCACCTGCTTTTTGCATTTTAAATGTGACACAACAGAAATTTTAAATTATATATGTTGTTCACATTATATTTCTAAGGGACATAACTGCTACAACACCCATTATTTAATAGTGTTGAACAGGGCCATAAATCTAGTCTTGGTAAATTCAAAAAAACTGAAATCATTCCAGTCATCTTTTCTGACCACAGTGCAGTAAGATTAGATCTCAATTACAGGAAAAAAATTATTAAAAATTCAAACATATGGAGGCTAAACAACACGCTTCTGAATAACCAACAAATCATAGAAGAAATCAAAAAAGAAATCAAAATATGCATAGAAATGAATGAAAATGAAAACACAACAACCCAAAACCTATGGGACACTGTAAAAGCAGTGCTAAGGGGAAGATTCATAGCATTACAGGCCTACCTCAAGAAACAAGAAAAAAGTCAAATAAATAACCTAACTCTACACCTAAAGCAACTAAAGAAGGAAGAAATGAAGAACCCCAGGGTTAATAGAAGGAAAGAAATCTTAAAAATTAGGGCAGAAATAAATGCAAGAGAAACTAAAGAGACCATAGCAAAAATCAACAAAGCTAAAAGCTGGTTTTTGAAAAAATAAACAAAATTGACAAACCATTAGCAAGACTCATTAAGAAACAAAGGGAGAAGAACCAAATTAACAAAATTAGAAACGAAAATGGAGAGATCACAACAGACAACACTGAAATACAAAGGATCATAAGAGACTACTACCAGCAGCTCTATGCCAATAAAATGGACAACTTGGAAGAAATGGACAAGTTCTTAGAGAAGTATAACTTTCCAAAACTGAACCAGGAAGAAATAGAAGATCTTAACAAACCCATCACAAGCAAGGAAATCGAAACTGTCATCAGAAATCTTCCAGCAAACAAAAGCCCAGGACCAGATGGCTTCACAGCTGAATTCTACCAAAAACTTAGAGAAGAGCTAACACCTATCTTACTCAAACTCTGCCAGAAAATTGCAGAAGAAGGTAAACTTCCAAACTCCTTCTATGAGGCCACCATCACCCTAATTCCAAAACCAAAGATGCCACAAAAAAAGAAAACTACAGGCCAATATCACTGATGAACATAGATGCAAAAATCCTTAACAAAATTCTAGCAAACAGAATCCAACAACATATTTAAAAAATCATACACCATGACCAAGTGGGCTTTATCCCAGGAATGCAAGGATTCTTTAATATCCACAAATCAATCAATGTAATACATCACATTAACAAACTGAAAGATAAAAACCATATGATTATCTCAATAGATGCAGAAAAAGCCTTTGACAAAATTCAACATCCATTTATGATTAAAACTCTCCAGAAAGCAGGAATAGAAGGAACATACCTCAACATAATGAAAGCTATATATGACAAACTCACAGCAAGCATCACCCTCAATGGTGAAAAATTGAAAGCATTTCCCCTGAAATCAGGAACAAGACAAGGGTGCCCACTCTCACCACTACTATTCAACATAGTTTTGGAAGCGTTGGCCACAGCAATCAGGGCAGAAAAAGAAGTAAAAGGAATCCAGATAGGAAAAGAAGAAGTGAAACTCTCTCTGTTTGCAGATGACATGATCCTCTACATAGAAAACCCTAAAGACTCTACCAGAAAATTACTAGAGCTAATCAACAAATACAGTAAAGTTGCAGGATATAAAATGAACACACAGAAATCTCTTGCATTCCTATACACTAACAATGAGAAAACAGAAAGAGAAATTAAGGAAACAATACCATTCACCATTGCAATAAAAAGAATAAAATACTTAGGAGTATATCTACCTAAAGAAACAAAAGACCTATACATAGAAAGCTATAAAACACTGATGAAAGAAATCAAAGAGGACACAAACAGATGGAGAAATATACCGTGTTCATGGATTGGAAGAATCAATATTGTCAAAATGGCTATACTACCCAAAGCAATCTATAGATTCAATGCAATCCTTATCAAACTACCAACGGTATTTTTCACAGAACTAGAACAAATAACTTCACAATTTGTATGGAAATCCAAAAAACCTCGAATAGCCAAAGTAATCTTGAGAAAGAAGAATGGAACTGGAGGAATCAACCTGCCTGACTTCAGACTCTACTACAGAGCCACAGTCATCAAGACAGTATGGTACTGGCACAAAGACAGAAATATAGATCAATGGAACAGAACAGAAAGCCCAGAGATAAATCCACGAACCTATGGTCACCTTATCTTCGACAAAGGAGGCAAGGATATACAATGGAAAAAAGACAACCTCTTTAACAAGTGGTGCTGGGAAAACTGGTCAACCACCTGTAAAAGAATGAAACTAGAACTCTTTCTAACACCATACACAAAAATAAACTCAAAATGGATTAAAGATCTAAATGTAAGCCCAGAAACTATAAAACTCCTAGAGGAGAACATAGGCAAAACACTCTCCGACATAAATCACAGCAGGATCCTCTATGACCCACATCCCAGAATTTTAGAAACAAAAGCAAAAATAAACAAATGGGACCTAATGAAACTTAAAAGCTTTTGCACAACAAAGGAAACTATAAGCCAGGTGAAAAGACAGCCCTCAGATTGGGAGAAAATAATAGCAAACGAAGCAACAGACAAAGGATTAATCTCAAAAATATACAAGCAACTCCTCCAGCTCAACTCCAGAAAAATAAATGACCCAATCAAAAAATGGGCCAAAGAACTAAACAGACATTTCTCCAAGGAAGACATACAGATGGCAAAAAAACACATGAAAAGATGCTCAACATCACTCATTATCAGAGAAATGCAAATCAAAACCACAATGAGGTACCGTTACACACCAGTCAGGATGGCTGCTATCCAAAAGTCTACAAACAATAAATGCTGGAAAGGGTGTGGAGAAAAGGGAACCCTCTTACACTGTTGGTGGGAATGCAAATTAGTACAGCCACTATGGAAAACAGTGTGGAGATTTCTTAAAAAGCTGGAAATAGAACTGCCATATGACCCAGCAATCCCACTTCTGGGCATACACACTGAGGAAACCAGATCTGAAAGAGACACGTGCACCCCAATGTTCATCGCAGCACTGTTTATAATAGCCAGGACATGGAAGCAACCTAGATGCCCATCAGCAGACCAATGGATGAGGAAGCTGTGGTACATATACACCATGGAATATTACTCAGCCATTAAAAAGAATTCATTTGAATCAGTTCTAATGAGATGGATGAAACTGGAGCCCATTATACAGAGCGAAGTAAGCCAGAAAGATAAAGACCATTACAGTATACTAACACATATATATGGAATTTAGAAAGATGGTAACGATAACCCTATATGCAAAACAGAGAAAGAGACTCAAATGTATAGAATGGACTTGTGGACTCTGGGAGAAGGCGAGGGTGGGATGTTTCAAGAGAACAGCATCGAAACATGTATATTATCTAGGGTGAAACAGATCACCAGTCCAGGTTGGGTGCATGAGACAAGTGCTCGGGCCTGGTGCACTGGGAAGACCCAGAAGGATCGGGTGGAGAGGGAGATGGGAGGGGGGACCGGGATGGGGAATACATGTAAATCCATGGCTAATTCATTTCAATGTATGACAAAGACCACTGCAATGATGTAAAGTAATTAGCCTCCAACTAATAAAAATAAATGGGAAAAAAAATAAATAAAGTATTGTTCTACAATAAAGTTTTATAGATGAATAAAAAAAAAATAATAGTGTTGAACAGAAAGAATTAAGCAGCTGAAAGTGGGGATTTCCCAGAGTTTTTCCTACTGCTTACTCTATTGCCAACACTACAACTCATTTAATTTCTAGCCCCTGTCCCTGGACACAAAAGAGAGATTTAAAAAATCAGTAGGTGCATCAAGTCATGGATACAACATTAAACTAATGGGTCAAAAGAACTAACTATAGCCCTGGTTCTGGAGTTAACTTGGAGAAGTTGTTTTTCCTCTGAGTCTTAAACTTGTCTGCCCCAACAATTAAGTAAGGGAGCTAAACTAAATTTATACTCCCATGAATCTGTCAAAATAGTTTTTTCTGTCAAAATTGGTTTCAATAAAAATGAATAAATACTCACTTTGAGTCTAACACATCCTCTGCGAGAGCCTCTCATCATTTTGTCCTTGGACTAAAAGAAAAACAAAAACATTAAATGAATAAAAGATAAACAGAGTTTTTAGAATCATCTAGGGATAAAGAGATAAATTTTATAGTAATATTCCTCCCTTTTCCCCATCCCTGTCCCACTCTACCCAGCCATCACTTAAAGATAGGAATTAGCAAATTTAAAATGTTTTATCCTGTGCGTGGTCACTCAGTCATGTCCGATCTGCAACCCCATGGACTGTAGCCAACCAAATTCCTCTGTCCATGGGATTCTCCAGGCAAGAATACTGGAGTGGGCTGCCATGCCCTCCTCCAGAGGATCTTCCCAACCCAGGGATCGAACCAAGGTCTCCCACATTGCAGGCAGATTCTGAGACATCATCATGGAAGTAGTTTATACAAATAAAGCTAATCACAGAATTTTCTGTGTACCTTAAACATAGCATATATTACACTATATTTTCATTTTTCCTTCATATCCTTTAACTCTCAACTAAAATATGTTTCTCATATTTCAGTGAGTTTCACCTGAAAGGTGACTGGGGGTTTAAGAATCACTCCCAGATGATTCTGACATCAAGCAAACAGAGAACACATTTTGGAAAAAACTGCTTTAACTTTGTCTTTGCAACTCCCCAGATGGGTCACATTTTTTTTTGCCTCTGAAATTTCTCATCCAGTGTTTCTCAGTTTAGAATATCCTTGACTCTGATTTTCTGCCTTGGATTGTCACTCATCAAGCGTCCTACCTCTCTGTCTGATTAGAATTCCCACCCCTGGACTCCTAGAGTCTCTTATATGTTTCCCAATCCTGGCATGTACCACCTTGTGCTATAGAGGCTGGTTACTTGTCTGATTCACCCACAAGACTGCAAATTCCTTAGGGGGTAGAAATTGTATCTGACTTATGCTTCAGAACAGTGTCTGGCACACAGTAGGTGTTCAAAAAATATTTACTGATAAAACATTTTTATCCTTTGTTTCTGATGCTAGACTGAGCTAAGCAAAGACTGTGTTCTGAACAATTAGCCCCATGTTGACATTCAGTAAATATTCCTAGAATTAACTTAGTTATGTGTAAAAAATAAAGTAAAACCTCAAACAACTAAAGCTTTAAAAATATTTAACACTGCAACAACTGGTATTTTTTCCACTATGTGACAAAGAAGTAAAACAAGCCAATATCATGGAGTTACATTTTTGAAGAAAACTGTCCCACTTTAAACCACAGATGGCCTACATCCACTGTACTGAGCCAGAGGCAAACTTCCAGCTACAAGATAACTCTATCTCAGGGATTTCATGTACAGCACATGACTACAGTCAACACTATATACTGAATACTCAAAAGTGGCTAAATGAGTAGGTCTTAAAAGTTCTCACTACAAAACAAAAGGTAATTATAAGCGGTGAGGGTGGTTGTGTTATTCAATCTTATTGTAGTATTCACTTCACAATATATATGTATATCAAAACATCACATTGTACACCTTAAATAATGTTACATGTCAATTATACCTCAATAAAGCTGAAAAAGTAAATTTAATAATTTCTCAGAGATGTTTGCATGCCTGTACACAAAGATCTGCCTTATCCTTCTCACCGCAACATGCTGTTAACATAGGCTATGCCATTGCTTTCGCTGATTGTAAGCTTATCAATGGAACAACATTACAATAAATCAAAGCAAAATTTCTTCAAAAATAAAAAAATGAAACAAAAAAGCACAGTACTGAGCTATAGAAATTCATGTTCAGAAATTACTGAAATAATTTTTCAAGGGTCTTCTTGCAAGTATAAGCACAACTCATACATTTTATAAAAAATTCTCAACATTAAGCAGGGTTAAAATGAGTTCTTGACTAAAAAACAGCTGGCAAAAACACAGTTGACAAAAACATTCCTTAAGCATTTAATAGCCCTTTTACTGTACCCTATATTTATCTTCCCTCCAACAGTGTCATGGCAAAACACAAAAATAATAATTAGGTTTGAAAATACCCAATGAGAGTTACAATGCAACTCAAACAAGGTAACAAACATCCTTGATTCTCTTCCATTTTAAAAAATCAGACTATAGTAGATAAAAAAAAGGGCAAGACAGGGTAATAAATCAGAAAACACTGAAAGAGATAAGTAAAAATAATTACAACAAACCTAACTAGGAAACAATCAGACAAATTCAGAATGTGGGACATCCTATAAAATAATTGGCCTAGACTATTTTAAAATGTAAAAAAAAAAAAAAAAAAGACTAGCACATAAACAATTGTAAAATTAAATTAATTAAAAAGAGCAAAAATAAATTATGTGCATAAAGGCAGAAAGTACTGTGAACAGAATGCTCCCTGACATTGAAAAAGATCAAGGAAAGCAAAAGAGACGTAATCAGGTCTCAAGCTTTAACCTGGGACTTAAAAAAAAAAAAAAAGAATTCTGATGAGAGAGAGAAGGTAGGCAAAAGAGGGTATTCCAAGCAAGGTAACAACATCAGCAAAGGAACAGGTACAGAAAACCTTACACGAGGCCTTCACAGAAGTGTGACTGAGAGCCCAAGCGCAGGGTGTGAAGAGGGCGGTGGAGAGAGGGGGAGAGATGAAGCTGAAAAGGAAATGTGGGGACCAGGTCCTGCAGGGGGGTCTGAAAGAAACAGTGAGTAGTTAAGGAAATTAAACTTCAATAGTTAATGGAGAGCTAAAGGTTTATGAATATTCTCAAAGGTGTGTTATAGAAAAACAGAAAAAGTTAAATATGAGAACTTGGGGAAAAGGGCTGATGGTGACTGATGACACAGCAAAAGCAGTAGCAGCATCAATGGCAGCGGCAGACTCTCACTCATTGATGACCTCCATGTGATATGCACTTTATACACAGGAAACCTCACAATACCTTGCATTGGTGAGAGTTATTCACATAAATGAAGGTGACACCAGGAAGATCAAGTAAATTACCCAATTAAATTACATGTGTAAAACACAGCGGTTTGATGCAGCCGACACAGTTTGGAATGGCTGCCCTGCCAATCATCCTCCCACATCACACCTGTGCTGATACCTGGCCTCCTCCTCCTCCACAATGACACACAGCCCTCTCCCTCATTTTCTCGCCACTCAGCTCCAGTGTGAGGCCAAAGAGAAGCTGCTATGACCAAGTCCCCCTAAGCACAGTGAGTGCTGAGGGGTGGTTATCTGACCAAGCTGGCCAATCACAGGGCCCACGACCAGGGACAAGGCAGGATGGAGTCCTTCCACAGGAGGTTTTCTACTGGGGTTGAGAGACGAGTTCCTTCTTACATGTTCTTGAAGCTTAAGGAACAGTTGCCACAGGTCTTATGCCTTCTACATGAAGGAAGCAATAACTAAAGCATACACGCTGAGAGGAGAGAAGAGAGGCAGAAAGTTCTAGCTGCAAGTGATCTCCAGCTACCCTCTGATCTGAAGCAAACCTGCCAATGCTATTCACTGAAGAGCAGGGGGTTTTGTTTTGGAAGTTTGGCGGGGGGCGGCGGGGGGGTTGTTTTTGTTTTTGATGCTCTTATTGTCTTTTTTTTTACAAATACAAGTAGTGATGAGAGAAAGGTAGAGCCAACAAACATAACCCCAACTCCAGTTATCTTCCTACCAGGTGCTATGCTATGCTAACAATGTTCTCAAACTTAGTAACAAAAGTATTTTCTAGCAAGTTGGCACAAACATGCCTCCAAGCCACAAAGCTCAGCACCTTGAGAGGATCACTCAGAAAACAGATGCTAAAATCTTTTCAGCGATTTAAGAAAACAGAATCCCCCATGAAGCAGAAAGATACAGGGGTGACATGTTCTACTTCTAAGAGGCTTCAGGACTAATAAAGATTGGTGGATTTGGTGGCTGGATTTGCTGGTTTCTTATATCTTATTAATGCAAGAGCAGTGGATTGTTATAACAAGCCATGCAATCAAAAATAACTTTTTCAACTTTGCTGGTGGTCCAGTGACTAAGACTCCAGACTCCCAATGCAGGGGGCCTGGGTTCAATTCTTAGTCAGGAAACTAGATCCCACATGTTGCATCTGAATGATCCCACATGCCTCAAGAGAGATCAATGACCCCAGGTTCCGCACTAAGACTCAGCCACCCTCAAAGAAATAATTTATATTAATCCTTAGGATAACCCCAAGCTATTGATTCAGATTACAATTTGTATTAAAATTTCAAAGTAAATTACCACAAATATAATATAATGCTGCCTATCACAGGCCTGTCCTCCAATATCCATTCTCCTCTTCTTCCTATCAGTATTAACATCCTCCACCCCAAATTTTAACTTATATGCAGAGTACATCATGCGAAATGCCGGGCTAGATGAAGCACAAGCTGGAATCAACATTGCCAGGAGAAATATCAATAACCTCAGATATGCAGATGACACCACCCATATGGCACAAAGTGAAGAACTACAGAGCCATCTGATGAAAGTAAAAGAGGAGAGTGAAAAAGCTGGCTTAAAACTCAACACTCAAAAAACAAAGATCATGTCATCCAGTCCCATCAGTTCATGGCAAATAGGTGGGGAAACAATGCAAACAGTGAGAGACTTTATTTTTCTGGGCTTCAAAATCACTGCAGATGGTGACGGCAGCCATGAAATTAAAAGACGCTTCCTCCTTGGAAGAAAAGCTATGACCAATCTAGACAGCATATTAAAAAGCAGAGACATTACTTTGCTGACAAATGTCTGTCTAGTCAAAGTTATGGTTTTTCCAGTAGTCATGTATGGATCTGAGAGTTGGACCATAAAGAAAGCTGAGCGCTGAAGAATGGATGCTTTTGGACTGTGTTGTTGAAGACTCTTGAGAGTCCCCTGTACTGCAAGGAGATCAAACCAATCAATCCTAACGGAAATCAGTCCTGAATACTCATTGGAAGGACTGATGCTGAAGCTGAAACTCCAATACTTTGGCCACTTGATGTGAAGAACTGACTCCATGGAAAACACTCTGAAGCTGGGAAAGACTGAAGGCAGGAGGAGAAGGGGATGACATGAG